ATATAAATTGGTTGGGAATCAAGCATTCATTTTCACGAACCTTTCTTTTTGATACCGAGACAACCCGTTACCATGCACAAAGATATCGGGTGTTCCGCGCATGCCAAAACCAAAATCGTACGGCATGAAACGGCAATTACGACAAGTTGACTCACCTGTGATATTCGGTACCGGCTCTACTCAATAATCCTAGAAAATTTTAGATCAAATAATGAGTAAATTATTAAATTGTTCATCTCTAATAGGCATTTTGATAAATTACCTTTAATAAAATGATCAAAATATTTTTAAATTTTCAAATTTGTAAGAGTATTTTGATTATTTTTATTTAGCTCAATTATATTCTTAATATTTTTTTAAAATGTATGTAATGAGACCATTTACTTTTCATATAAAGAAGTCACAATCATTATTGACATTTGGATTTTACTTTTCATATAAGGAAGTCACAATCATTATTGACATTTGGATATAAAATTGAATGTTCAAGGATGTATCATTGATTGGGTACATAATCCAAAAGAAAATTTCTCGAATTTTGTGACACTTCAATCTATTAGATTTCATATCCCATGATAAAATAATTTTAATCTCATTGTACAAAAAGTAAATAGTCACATAATATACAACCTCTTCTTCTTTTTTTTAATGTTATGATGATAAGCATGGATACCTACAATGTGAGCTTAATTGAATATATTGAAAAAAATACAATTGAAATATAACATTCACGAAAGAAAAATGGGTCTGAAGTATAAAATATATGAGTATTTTTTAAGGGCGTGGTTTGTGTAAGAGTGAGGCCGTAAATAATCATAGTAAGGTACCTTCAAATAGTGCCGAAATATGTTGTTTTAGTACTGGAAATCTTAGTGATAGCCTCAAAATTCATTTTCATCTCTAAATATAAAATTTAAAGCTTCAAAACTAATGTAGATTGAGCATATCTATGAATATTTCAAAATTTGAAAATTGACCGTCTAGATAATGCATTACAAGGTGCAATAATTCCAATACTTGATATCCGCTTTTTCTCATATCCATGCATTACAAGGTGCAATATTTCCAATACTTGAAATCCATTTTTTCTTATGTCCATGCATTACAAGGTGCAATATTTCCAATACTTGAAATCCATTTTTTATCATGTCCATGCATTATAAGGTGCAATATTTCCAATACTTGTCCATACATCTTGAGGTTAAGATGTTTGATTTGAGGAATTTTAGACATTAAAACAACCTCAAGGTGATCATAATTAATCATGGCCATTGAATGTGAAACTGAGTGGCTGCATTTATTCCATTAACCAAACTCAAAGTTCAAAACAAAAAAATCTCAAACTTTGCATCTCATTGTATACAATCCCTTATAATAAAATAATTAATAAATTTTAATATATCCAAACATGTGTTCAGATGTAGAAACTTAATGGCAGATATCTTACTAAAGGGGCATCTACACTCTACCTCGTTCTAAACTCTTGCAGAGTTTTCACAAACAATTTTGTACAACCCACTACAATGGTCCATCAATTTTGTTAACTACCAAAAATTGTAGCAGTACTTCAAAAAAAAATAAAAAAAATTGAAGCAGGTGATTATGACAATTAAAAAAAAAAAAATTGAAGCAGGTGATTATGACAATTGAAAAGAAATAAAAATTTGCACGAATATTCTCCATGATTCTTGTTATTTAAAAAATTCCCCTAATTTTTCTTTGTTTTACATGCATATCCCTTTTTCTTTATTTCTTTTTTACTTTCAAATTGCCGGTGCATCGCATCAACAATATTTGAAGTGATAAAGTTATTTTATAATTTTGGATCTTGACCCATTTTTTTATTCCTAATGTGGCCATATGTTGAAGTGGTATATGAGGACTAAGTGTGAGTCTTAAGGATATAAGTCAAATGTGACTTCATATCTAGAGGATTCGAAGCGGTAATAAGTTTGGTAATTAAAAACAATAATAATCCGTGTGGACCTTTTTTTCCCACCCTCATTATGGTCTGCTCCACATTTTTCTCAAAAATATGTCTTGGGATTGCTTTTTGTTTTTTATCTTCCTAGTTTTACCCCATGTGGACATCTCCAATATTAGATAGGTGGGAGTTTACCTCTATTTTTTTTTTTTTTCCGCGAGCTTGCCCGATGTTAGAAATACCAAACACCCTAGTTTGTTTGATATTGTCAATATTGGGCAGCTCTAAAACCCATACGATGTCCAATGTTGCCAACACCAAACACCTTGTCCCTCGGCAAGAGATATGTCTAGTGTTGAAAACAACATATAGCACAAAGGCAAGGATTAGATATGTTAGGCCCCATGTGGTTAACATCATATCTTTGCCCCTTGGCAAGAGACCTATCAAGTTGAAAATATTGGAATACCTATGGGTTTTAAGGTTGTCTGACATTTCTAATATCTGCCAAGTTTTAAAAAAAAAATAATAATAAATTTTCCACCTATTTAATGTTGGAGATGTTGGACCCTTGGGAGTGTGGGGATCGGCTTGGTCTCTATGAATTTCGAGCCAAATGTGAAGCATATAGTAATATAAGGGGAAGAACCAGTATGTATAATTTTCTCTTTGAAAAAAGAAGTTGAGGAAAGAAGTATGTGGGGTTGTGACTTTTTATTTTTAAGATTAAAGTTTACTTCAAATATTGAAGATTCAACGTAACAAAATTTTAGAAAGAGAATAGGGTATATACATAAAATAAAAATTACTAAGATATTTTTAAAGGGTGCGGGTGCGGTTTGTATAGGGCCTAGGCTCTAAATAATCAAATTAGAGGTTACCTTCAAATAGTGTGGAAAAATGTAGTTTTAAAATTGAAAATCTATTTGATAGTCTTTAAATATGGTTTTATATTTATTTATAAAGTTCAAAGCTTCAAAAATTGCGTAGATCCGAAAACTTGAAAATTGACGGTCAAAAAATGCGTTACAAAATACATATATTTTTCAAACTTGAAATCTATTTTTTTTCTCATGTATATGCTTCTTGATGTCGAGATGATCAATTTGAAGATATTTGGACATCAAAATAACCTCTTCTAGTGAAGTTTTTTCGATAAACTCAAATTTGATTGTTTAGAGCCTCGGCTCTATATAAACTTTTCTCATTTTTAAATAATGGTGATTATGGGAGATATTGGAAAAAACTCCTCTTTATCCACGGATATTAAGATGGACATTGGGTAAAGTGCAGTGGACCAAAGTAATTTATGGATAATGCAACCCAAAAAAATATATTTTAAAATTTAAAATTTTATTACATATATTTATGATCATTTTGGCCTAGATCATAAATCCCTAGAAATTAAAATAAAAATTACTTGTTGAGATGGATTTTAGAAGGGGAACGCACTCATAAAACCCATCGTTTGATTACTCGAAAGGAAAAACAGAAGGGCAGTCTTGTAATGTCTTGTAAGCTCCACCAACTGCTCAGTCTCTGAGTTACAGCTTCTTCTTCCTAAGAAGGAGAGAAATAGAAAACAAAGACATGAACTTCTCCATCTCCTCCCAAATCTATCATCATCTCTCCATCAATAACTCTAATTATAAGCATCTTTCCCCCTCCAACTGTTGTTGTTGTTGCAGAAATGGGGGTGGCAATGCACTTCCATTTAAGCCCATTTCCAACCTCCCCTTGTTTCCACCCATCTCTCAATCTTATTCTTCTTTGTCTCCAAACTCCCATCTCATTGGAAAGGGAAATGGAAAGGGGAAGCGATCAATGGTGGTTGTTAGGGCAAACACAAACACAGAGGTTGGACTATCGGCAGCGAAAGTCCTCCGTCGGATATTGCAGTCTCCGGGAGTCGAGCCGGGTCCCTCCTGCTTTGATGCTCTCAGTGCTAAGCTCATCCAACAAGCTGGATTCAAATTCTGCTTCATGAGCGGTACTCAAATACTTAATACTGCTTCTGTTTTTTTTCCTGTTTATCATATATCTATTGACTTTCTCTTCTGCGGAAGTGGTTTGATTGATTAATCTTCCTCTTGAGTATATACTATGCTTATTTGGGTTTTTGATTCGACAAAGCTTGTGCTTCTTTATCTGCCCACCCATGGATGTGGTGGTTTCTATTTGCATTTTGTTTGGGTTTTTCTGTTTCAAATTGCTCGTGCAGTAAATGAGTGACCTTTTTCTTTTTTATGTTTACTATGAACTTTTTGTTTTTAGTTGCATTTTATATGGGTTTTTCTGCTTAAAGTGGCGTATGCAGTAAATGAATGGCCCGTTTTTCTGTCCCCTCTCTCGCTCTCTCTCTCTCTCTCTCTCTCTCTCTCTATTTTGTTTTTTGGGTGTTTTTGGGGCCCAAGTGAATGAATGATTTAAGTGATTCAATTAGAATGATACGCCCCATTTCCTGATTTTGAATTATTCCCAAGCCTGTTCCGTCTGTTCATTCTTGGTTCATGGCTTCTTGCATACTCTCAGCTCGCTGTGTTTTATTAATTTTTCCCACTCTCTCTACCAACGTGTGCTCGCTGCTTCTCCATCCATGCTCTATTTTTGAATTTTTAAAGTTTTCTTATACGATTAGTTAGTTTGAAGACCAACACATTCGTTCTTGTTTCCGGAAGCTATGAAGTACTCCTTCTCATCATTCCAATCCTTTCAAAGCATGGTCTGCATGGTAGAAATTACCTGTCCAAATTTCAATTGGATATTTTTTCTTAATTCTAGTACCATCAATGGACAAATTGAGACCACCCACCATTTCAGAATTTTGTACCCATTCATCCTCACATTTGAAAAAGACACCTTTTATGAATATTCAACTTCTAGACTCTTTTCCCAATTAGGAAGTTGAAAAGTGATCTGTTCCTTTGTATTTTTTTCCCTTCTAAATTTTTTTTCTTTCCCAATTTTGAGTATCATGGGGTTATGTAACTACCCCAAGAAAACTTATTTTTACTGCTTCATTGTAGTCTTAAGTAAGTAACTGTAATGCAATAGGCATGCAGTTTTCTTTTCATTGCCTTGTTATGCTAATCTGAGAGGATAGAGCCAGTGACCGATGGTGGTTTCCTATCCAGGATTTTCAGTTTCAGCTGCTCGATTGGGATTGCCGGATGTTGGTCTCATATCCTATGGAGAAATGAGAGACCAAGGATATCAAATAACTGAAGCTGTATCTATACCTGTAATAGGAGATGGAGACAACGGGTATGGAAATCATATGAGTGTCAAGAGAACTGTCAAGGGTTATATAAAAGCTGGTTTTGCGGGCATTATTATCGAGGACCAGGTAAATGGCGCTATGTACATTTTTTTTTTAGAATTAAATTCTTTTCTAGCGAGGGCTTTTCCTTTTCTCATGATCCTAGTTTTCACTGCAAATAATGTGGAAATCTGTGCTGTTTTTTCTCCTGCTGCTTACCCTTGTTAAACATTTGTAGTGCATAAGATGCATAAGAAGAAGAGATTATTAAATAGTTTTCATGTTTGGATTTATATGTCACAACACCAATTTCGTATTATACAGTTATTGAACCCCTTGAAGTTCATAGAGAGACAGTTGAATGCTCTAAATTTTAGTTCTTGATGTAGAACTTGAAGAAACATAGACAATCAGCAAGAAAGCACCTTGACAAAAGGCATTGCATGCACGTTCAAAAGGCATGTGAGACCTGAAAATGCATATACAAAGAGTAAGGTTTTTTATATAACAGTCAAAACAAATTGTGAGAGCAAATCTCTTTAGGGAATGCACTCTTTCAAATGCTGAAACTTCCATGAATATCCAGTGTCTCAATAATGGTGTAAAAATTGGAAAAAAATTAAAAAGAAGTGGGGGCCGATTTTGGCCGGTTCTGTGACAGAACCAGCCAGCTCCTGCTATTTAGTAGGACTTGTTTCATGGGGCGAATTGGCCAGTTCTCGATATTTAGTGAGAACCAGTTCACCGCCAATGATTCCCGATCCAGATCTGCTAGTTCCAAATTGGATTGGCATTTTTTCAATACCTTGCATACCGTAATGCTTGTTCCCTAATTGTCCTTGCAAGTGCCATAACAGGAATACCAAAATACAATAATAAGGGAGTCAAGCAAGATTTGTACTGGCTACATGTAAGGAAGATGTGAGGATTACACTTTCGGAATTTAACATGTTTATGATTTGTTGAGAAATATCAACACAAACTCGTTAGTTTCTTTTATTTTGATGATAACTAACTATATTCTTATTTTTTAGTTGTTTGGTTCTTAGACATGTACCATTTGAATTCCTTGAGATTTCAAATGAGGATTTCTGCCACTTAAGCCTGTGATTAGCAAACTTGGTCCTTTGGGTTGCTCTCCCTTTATTAAAACTAAAGCCTCTATGTGGTTCCTATTTCAGAATCCTTGTTTTCATTTGCTTTATTCAATTGCTACAGGTGCTTCTTTGATGCTTTTTCCTTTCAGTAACTCACTTGTGGCACTCAACCATTTCTTTGGGCAGGCCATCCTACCCCCATTTAATTAACTCTGCCATGGCCGGTTCGAAGCCCAGATAAAGGAGGAGGGTTGTGTTAGGTAGGAAACTAGGTAAAACTTTGCCGTATCTTTTTATGAATCATGAACCTATGTTATATGCTTATACTAGGGGCGTTCCCAATAAGCGATGCATTGTATCGACACCTTGGTGCAGGGAGAAATGAGCAAGGGTTAGCTAGGGCATTATGTGGAAACGATGCACCGCACTGACTCCTGGTTGCAATGACAGGCAGGCAAGGGTTCCCGTACCATTTTGAAAGAGCATGGGTAAAGAAACCAGTCCAAGTGAATAGGATTCATTTAGCCACATGGAATGTAGGAACTCTAACAGATAAAAGTATGGTGTTAGTGGGTACAATGAGACGAAGGAGAGTTAATATAGCTTGTCCACAAAAACTAAGTGGGAAGGGGCAAAAGCTAATAAATTTGATGGATATAAACTTTGGTGTATAAGAAAGGATCATTATAGAAATAGCATAGGGATAATAGTGGAAAATGACTTAAAGGATAAAATAGTTGATGTCAAGAGAGTAGGTGATAGGCTCCTATTAATTAAACTTATATTAGGGGATAAGATAATTGATGTAATTAGTACATATGCGCCACAGGCAGGACTACAAGATAGAAGATAGAATGAATTGACAATTTTGGAGAACATGGATGGACTAGTCCAAGGAATACCAATTCGAGATGACTTTTTTTTAGGAGGGGACTTAAATGATCTTGTAGAAAGAGATAAAAGAATATATAAAGGGGTACATAGAGGATATGCTTTTGGGGAAACAAATGAGATGGGCGGTGTTATTACGGATTTTGCTATGGCTTACGACTTAGCAATAGCAAATACCTATTTTAAAAAAGTGTGACGAACATTTAGTTACTTATAAAAGTGGATTATATGAAATCCAAATAGACTTCTTCCTAGTTAGGAAGGCAAATCGGCCACCATGTACAGATTGTAAGTTTATCCCAGCCGAGAGTTTGACCATTCAATAGAGGCTCATGGTTGTGGATGTTTGCATAAAATTATGGAAGTGGTGTAAAGTTAGTAGGTGTCCAAGAACTAGGTGGTGGAATTTAAAAAGGGGGAAAATAAACTTATTTAAGAATAAAATGGTAAAAGAAGGAACATGGAATTCTGAGCACAAAGTTAATGTTATGTGGAATGAGATGACTGATTGTATTAAGAAAGTGACAAAAGAAGTTTGAAGAGAATATAGAGGAAAAATAACTCCAAAAAGGAAACTTGGTGTTGAAGTGATGAGGTTCAAAAGGCTATTAGCAAAAAATGATAATATTGTAAAAGCTTGGCAGTTAATTTACTCAAATAAAAAAAATATAATAGAAATGATCAAAACTTTGAAGAATATAAAAATACTGAGAAAATACTAAGATGAAATAGTAAGTAAGGCTAAACTTAAGGCTTATGATGATTTATACTATAAATTGGGGACAAGAGAAGGTGAAAACGATGTCTTTAAACTAGCAAAAATGAGAGAGAGGAAGTTTAGGGATCTTGATCATGTTAAATGCATTAAGAGTGAGTATCTAAAGGTCTTGGTGAAGGATGACAAGATCAACAAAAGGTGGCGAATTTATTTTCGAAATTGTTAAATGATGAGTACTATGGGAGCATAACATTAGGATATCTAAGGTCATAAATACATTCACAGGGTTAGGATATCTGAAGTGAAAGAAGTTTTGAGAAAGGTGAAGATAAGAAAGCCTATTGGAACCTATGGTATCTTGATAGAGGTTTGGTAGTGCATGGGAGAGATTGACATAATCCGGCTAACCAAGCAGCTCAACAAGATGTTGAGAATAGAGTAAAAAAGCCAAACATAATTTGTGTAGCCAACCCCAGATAGATGGCATAAGACTTGGATGATGATGATGTTGAAATGGAATATTCAGCTCTCGTTTCGTTTGAAAATTCTAAAAATGCCATGGATAGATTATGTGATGTTTAGTTAGGTTCATTTGTCAAAAACTATGGGAAAATTTCATAACTTGCCTATTGTAATTATCTCAAAAAATTCATTGTTTAGACATATATCCAAGGCAAGACTTATATCCAAGGCAAACTAGTGTGTCATACAACCCAAATATTAGAAATGAATTTGTGACTTGTATTAGTCAAGAAAATCATTTTGAAAATTCCATTCAAATGTAATGGTTATTTTAAAGTTTTTGTTTCTGCGACCCAAGCCCGTAAAATATGCTTGCATTTTTTTTTTTTCCCTTTAAAGAGAGAAAGAAACAACTTAGCAATTTTTTATCCTAAAATTCTTGGAACTTTAAAAAGGGAATGTCTACTATGGGACCATTTATCTTTGTTGCATAAAGGTCAATTGCTACTAGCTATTAGATGTCAAATTGGATGGCTTGGGGTGTGACACAAAGTTCAATAAATTTTTTGTGAACTGAGTCTAGTCAATGACATACTCACAACCGCCTGATTTGAAATATGACCGACAAGAGCGATTGTGTTCTCTTTGTATTAAAAGTAAATAGTCTCTTTGTATACTTTTCCTTTTGGAAAATATTCTGCCACGTATATCATACCATTCTTTTGATATTAATGTCAAAAAGTGAGGTACTTGTCTATAGACATTTAATTTACTAAGGGGTACGAGAACCCAATATACCACAGCTGCATAATGGCCTATAAACTAGGGCTGCTAATCATGCTTCATGACCGTGTGTGTTATATTGCCCATGAGGAAGCTTTCCATGGAAAGTACGACAAGCAAATGGATTCAAGGTGACTGACAAGCATTGCCTTGTCCATCTGCATATCCATGTTTTCACATATTTTCTTTTGCAAGCAGCCAAGAACATGCAGCTCTTTTATTGTGAATAGAGGACATCATGTTGGGAATTTCTGCTGAAAATCTGTTGAAATTCCGCTTAAGTTTGCCAAATATTTGAATTTTTTGGGTAAATATGATATTTGTATTGATTTTGCAACCAACCTCCCCCCCCCCAAAAAAAAAGCACACACACGCACACAAAAAAAAGAACCACCTAAAACCACTATCAAAATGTCTGAAACCTTGTTGGGTTCTGTTTAATGTAACTTTGCAATACATATTATTTCGTACTAACTTCTTTTATCATCGTGCTAGCAAGTATGTCTTCTCCTCGTGTTCTTATATCTATGCTGGGAACATAGCTCCTATTGAGCACAGCAATATTTCCGTTCTTTTTTTATATGTTTAGAAGTTCTTTTATATGTCCAAAATGGACCATTTGGTTTGGATGCTAGAATGCCAATACTTTTAATGGATGATACATCTTATTGAAGTTAACGATATGCCATTTTTGTAAAGGACTCTCCGAAAGCTTGTGGTCATACTCAAGGGAGGAAAGTGGTCTCGAGAGAAGAGGCATTGTTGCGCATAAAAGCTGCTATTGATGCTCGGGAAGAAAGTGGCCTGGACATTGTTATAGTTGCAAGAACAGATGCTCGTCAAGCAGTTTCCTTGGAGGAAGCACTTTGGAGAGTACAAGCTTTTGCTGATGCTGGAGCTGATGTTCTTTTTATTGATGCACTTGCTTCCAAAGAAGAAATGAGAGCTTTTTGTGAGATTTCTCCACAAGTTCCAAAAATGGTACGTAATCAGATGCCTTAGGATTTTTATTAATTCATTGGCTAGATTGAAAAATGTTTGCCATATCATTGTTTATATGATTTCAGTTAGCAAAAATGTATTTATGCCCATGCACGGTGTGCATTGTTTCCCTGTGTTGTGTATAGTATTTTAGTATTGCCTTGACTAGGTTATTTACACCATTATTTTTCATACATTTTTTAAATGTTATGACTTGCATTAGTATTTTCATTTTTCATCTGTGCTGCATTAAATAACTATTCTCATATTTAATTACGGTATGTTTGCATTTTCCTGATCTGTCTCCATATCTTAGCATCGTATCAAAACTTGGTTGTGTTATCCGAGAAATTTAATCTTGAGGTGGAGGACTTTTAAATAAGTTATTGTTCCTAGGGTGTCACATATTGAAGTCATTCCATGGTCTAGCTTATAAACGTTTCACCTTAAAAAGTTATGAATGAATAGTGTCTATAGTCTGGGTGCATATGTGTGTTGGTCGCTCAACCGCTTGCCCTGTACCTTTATCCTTTGTCTTGATCATTTCTACAAATTTATACTATGTCTGAGATTGCCTCGTGCTACTTAAGGTCCATCTTTTAAATATCAGCCAACGTATCTCTAAAATCTGAAGTAAGATGTGTAGTCAACAAAAATATGTTGGTGCAGACCTAGTAGCTTGGAGCTAGGGTTTAGCAAAGAAGAAGATAGGAAAGATCCAAAATTAGAGAAAGATGCAAAAACCAGAGATAAAAGAAGGAGCACTTGTTGCTCTAGGGTTTTGAATAAAAGTTTATAACAAGAACATCCATTATGCTTTAGTACATCCCTTATGTAAGAGAACCCTAAACAAGACTTAGCCCTGGTCATCCATCTAATCTGATCATGGCTATTTATTATAAAAGACTTTAAGTGAATGAAAAGACATAAGACTCTAAAAATTTCTATTTTATGCCCCTATGTAAATAAAAAGACTCAAGAAATAAATAACAAACATCAAAGGATAGTCTAATTTGCCATTCTACGGTTCCTCTTATAAACTTTAAGCTTGTCTCTTTTATCTAGATATTCGAGAGCAATATTTTGGCTGCATCATATGTTGAATGGATAAAATATCCCTCACGCCATCTGATTAAGTCTCTTAAATTGTTCAAGTTTTCCCAGTGGTGAGAATATTCTAGGGACTGTAAATCTCAAAATTTGATTAAGCCCTGGCCAGCGGTGAAAGAGGCTTGAAGCCTAGATTTGGCTAAGTGGTAGCAAGCAGTGAGAAATACACAGACACTTGGAACTACAAAAATTATTTTTGAAATGTAAACTTCTATTAAATCAGAAGAATTAATTACATCTAGTTATTCCAAAAGGAACAGCCAAACATAGACATTCCTGACGAGATGAGATAGAGAGTAATGGGCAGAAAAGAACCAAAAAAAGGGGAGAAGAGTATGGAGGAGATGGAGTGAATCAAGGTGGAGGATGACCCTACCCGGTGATGAGGTCGAGCTTATGGTACCCAAACCCATTAGCAGCCCTGACTTCATTAGCAGCCCTGGCTACATTTCTATAAGTAGTGGCTGTATGATGCATGGTGTTTAAGATCCCTTCCATGGTATCCGCTAGTCCCTATGCGATGGGTGTATCCCATCTAGCCCATATCTGATTACTTTAATCCAATCTCATTCCACCTCTATGGACCCGAAAAGGATTGAGGGAAGATTCTCTAAGCCATGAGCAATTTCCAGCCTCAGCAGTGTTAGTATCACCGTACCTAGCTGGCCCTGAGTTTACAACTCAAACATATGCCAAGTGATCTCTAATGATGCCACGAACTCCATACATTTGACTTAGTGGCAACCAACAGTAAGAAATACCCAGACACAAAAAATATTCTAATCTACCTAAGTTTGAACTAGTGAGGAACAACCAAACACTAAAAACCATCAAATCTGGCTAAGTGTTAACCAACCATGAGAAATGCCCTGAAATTAAAAACCATTGACGTCTAGCTAGTTTTCAGCCAAAGGCCCAGGAATAGCCTGACCAGATATTAAGGGTGGTCAGAATAACTTGCGCCAGTACAGGGCCCTACTCATTGTATGAGGGGCCGACAGAGATAAACATGGAGAGACAAATGTCCCAACCTCTTTGAGAAGGACACCTCGAAGAGAGAGAGAGAAAGACTTCTATTCTCTACAAACATAAAGCCTAAACTCTGTGATACTTGTCATGTAGAGAGATATCATTATACCCCGTTTTTTTTGTAAATTTTTATAAAATAGGAGCATGCAGCCCATCTCCATATTTAAGAGGCAAGTGAGAAGACTACAGAGAGAGAGAGCGAGAGTGGTTACACTCCATTCTCTGCAAAATACGGTAATAAAAGCTCAATTACTGAGATACTCAGTCTATCTAAGGGACTCTAAAGAGAGAGGCACGGGATTTATACTCCACTTTTGACAAACTAAGGCCACAATGCCTGATCTCTATGAAGATCTACAAAGAGAGAGATGTGGTTAATGGTTATGACCCACTTCTAAAAAATAGGGGCATAAAACTCAATCTCTGAGACACTCGATGTGTCTAAGGGGCTCCTGAGAGAGAAACCCAGTGGTTATACCCCACTCTTTACAGAGTAGGGGTACAAAGCCGATCCGTATGACTCTTTGTTTTGGGTAAATGATCCCTGTAACACTTGGTGTCCATATAATGCTTAAAAAGCCAGATGGAAAACCCTCTTAAAAGGGAACTTATGAAATTCCAAAGAGGCAACTCTGAGAAACCCTTTAGAGGTCTAGTGAGAAGACTCTATAGAGACTTTACTAAATTCACATAGATAAACACTAGAGCGGAGAAGGCAAGAGAAGCTGGGGGGAGAAAGAGAAAAATTAGTAAACAATGGCCAATCGATAATATTTCTTTATTTTCCTTATGTGGTTATAGGTTTTTCCTTTCTATGTAGAATCAGGGGTTATTCCCATGGATTTACTTCACAGGACATTGAATAATGCCACAGGAGAGTGTATCCACATCAATAATACCCATAATATGGAGAAGTTAGACTCTAGATTTTGTGTTTGCTTGTTAAGCATGAAATTTGGCTTACAAGCAATTGCCAACAAGAAAAATTGGTTGAATTCTAGGAAATCAATTTAATATAATGTAAAATAAGATGGATGTGTCATCAGTAGGGAACAAGTTCTGATCACGGAGAAAAGTGATCCAAAAGCGGCTATCTCTGAAAATAAAGAATGGAACTTGTATATGGAAACATAACTTTAACTGGTTGACAGTGATGTTCATCTAATGTTTCCTTTATTGCTTGTTGTGATAAAATTTCCTTCACCCTATTAAAATACATTGTACCCCAATAAGACCCCTAAGGATCAAGAAGTTCCAATGTACCCTAAGAAGCAAAAGTCATAGTCGATATACATCAACATTTGGAGTGAGTTTTGATGGTTATTAAACCTCGCAAAACTCATAGAAATAGCGATCATAGATCTTTAATTGAGCTTAAAGGATTGAAAATGGATACCTGGACTCAATTTTATGCCTCTTGGAGTTTTTTATGTCGATTTGATTGCAGAATCACAGTATCAATGACAAAGTCAGTATCCTTAAACCACATTGCGCAAGGGGCACATGATCATTGCTCTTAATGATTATTAGCAAGTAATATCCAAGAAGAAATAAAATGGATAAACTCAACTGTGTGCAAATGAATTTTGAACATTTTTCTTATTAGAGAAATTTCCTTGTTTTTCATAAGTCAAACATGGGACACAGACAATATGTACACTGTCATGTGACCCTCATGCAGCACTGTTCAGAAACCTCATCATTATGATGAACCGTTATATGAACACCATGGACCTTGGGGAGAACCATGTCTGTACAGCTGTTCATCAACATTGAACATTTTCTGAATTTGTAGATGTGCTGCCTTGCCTGTGTATATGGAACAGCAGCATCCAAATGCGTATATGCATTCCACTCATTAATAATTCAGGAAGTTAAATTGATGCATTTGATGGCATGGACACTTCTTAGCTTCCCATTGTTTTGGCACCTCAATTTTGAAACAATACATGCACAGTTGATGAATTGAAGTTCTTTGATCTTGAGGATGATTTAACATTATGTGCGTGTGCAGCATTCAATAGTACTGATTTCTACTGCAATGCGATTATGTATTTAGGCAAACATGCTCGAAGGTGGAGGAAAAACACCAATTTTGAATCCTCTAGAACTTGAAGAGATTGGTTACAAATTGGCCTGCTATCCACTGTCCTTGATTGCAGTGTCCATCCGTGCAATGCAGGTGAGGATGGTCCTTTACATACTTCCTATGCTACGTTTTAATTTGAAGGATTTACATTGGGATGTGAATGATAACTCACTATATTGATGATTTTGAGATGTTGTCTGTTGTAGAAAATGATCGTCTTTGTTATTGATATGCCCTCTCTTACAAATTTGTCAGTGACTGATTTTTGAAAGACAGAAAGTTACTAAGTAGATGGGACAGTCGTGAATTCAGACCGATTACGACTATCCTCCTGGGTTAACTATCTTGACCCTGGGAGAGAAATCAAGCTCTCATTGGTATATTGAGTTCCTTTAGATAGGGTAAAATGTGGTGATTCTTGGATGAGACCACTAACATCTCATACTACAGGTATTCTGGTTAAAGGAACTCATCAGTTTGTGCATGTTTGAAAAATTAAAATATACTGTACAATATGCTGATGAACTGCTGACCTAAGTAATGAACTCTTCAAAGTATCTTCACATGACTAATAAATTTTTTTTTTTAATACTGTTAACATTGCAGGTAAATGTCACGCGGCACAATTCACATCACTCTAATAATATGATACAAATCATTGTAATTGTTTTAAAAGGTAATGCTGCTTGCTTATTTGGTAGTCTACAGGATGCACTTAAAGCCATAAAAAGTGGTCGCCTCCCTCCTCCTGGAAGCCTGCCATCATTCGAGGAAGTCAAGGAAACTCTAGGACTTCCTGCCTATTATGAGGAAGAGAAGCGATATCGTACCACTGGTACTGAATTTTTTTGGTATTTTTAGTATAAAGTTTCTTTGTTAACCAAATTTTTACTTTCAAACAGTTGTTTCTTGTGTTTTTCTTGTCTTTATCAACCAATGGCTTATATTCAGGTTATTTGCCTGAATGCGGCAACCTTTCTAATATCTCAGAGGCGGCAACACAAAAAGAAAGAGATGAAAGGCCAAGCAGTCCAGTTGTAGAAGTTTTAACTCCCTATGTGTCTAATGACCAGGAAGCTGATGATCAAAAGGGCCCCTTTTCTGGAATATGGTCGCGATCATTGAGGGTTAAGATCATTGCAAGTGATGGGTTTGAGAAGCTTGATGTTAGAATCCCAGTGAGTTTTTCTCCCTTCTTACTGGGAATTTGTCTGCTATGTTTTGTTCATTTTTCACTGATAATATATTTATATACAGATGAGGCTAATAATAGAGCAATTTAATTTTTTTGAAGGTTATGACATATGCCGAGGATGTTCGTATCCTTGCATGGGTTCTGGCATTCTCAGAAGGAAAACGTTTATATAAGGACGAAGCTCTAAACAATCAAATTAAGGCGCACCCCCTAAGGGGTGTGCAACAGTTACATCAGGCGGTCTTATAAGCCCTTTTTGTATATGATACACTGACTGTATTTTTCCAGTCCATCCCTTAGGGGGTGAACTTGGCTTTGTCTCTCTTGTACACTTCTTACCCAGTAATACAATGTTAACCTTTCTTTAAAAAAAAAATCAAATTAAGTCGCACCTCAAAAATGCACTAAAAGAAGTTGTTTTGATGTCCAACAATCCTCAAATTGATCGTCTCAACCTCAAGATGTATAGACATGAGAAAAAATGGATTTCAAGTTGTGGAAATAGTGCATCTTGTAATGCATTTTTGGACTGTCAATTTTCAAGTTTTTCGAGTATTCATAAATTTGCTCGATCTACACTATTTTTGAAGCTTTAAATTTTATAATTAGAGATGAAATTTAATTTTCTAGCCATCACAAAGATTTCCAGTATTGAAACATCTTTGGACACTATTTGAAGGTGTGCCTTGCTTTGATTGTTTAGGGCCTAGGCCTTATAGAAACCACACCCTTCTTAGAATGCGGATATCTTGACTGTGAAAGTGGAGAATTTTAACTTATGCTAGAGATAGTCACATCAGATAAGAGGAATACATCCAAAAGTTTACTGAGCAATCCCTGATTTTTGCAGGCTGGGTTCTTGGAAGGGATCACAAATATTGTCCCAGGTACCATGCGACTCCCTCTAATGAGCCGAACATGAATCATAATATTTACACTTGGGACTCTGAGCCTCAATATTTGTATGCTCGTTCTACAGGCTTGGGTGGCGTAAACCTCAAGGCAATGCTGTATGAAGCAGCCAACGAGGGAAATGGCAATCATCAGAGAGGGAAAAAACTGCTTGATTTTAAGGACAGAATGGGAGATCAAATCCAAGTCTTCTTGGAATAGATGGGAAAGGAGATTTTTTGGTCTTGGTGTCACAGATTAGCACTCTTTACCTGACAATTGTAGTATTATATAATATTTGGAAATCTCAATATGAACTTGCTCCATTTATTTGTTAGCGGATTGCGTGAAGAAGAGGCCGTCCTTGGATCTGAAGGGGATGAGGCAGCAAATATTTCGGGAGAATTGGCCCTTAAGAAGCATTGGTAGGTAGAATCCTCCTGTGAAGGTTGAAATGAGGGGATGGGAGCCCCCATGGGTTTCATTGGTCTGCACCATTTATTCTATCCTTCACCACAAGAGCTTGCATTCACTATGCTTTAAGGAGTGATTTCTCTTTAATAGTCATTTTGTTGCTTTTCTGACTTGAGATCTAAGCATTACCTCACCATCTTTGCATTGAATACAGCTCAACTCAAGAAGGCCTTATCCTTTTCCACAATTCCTAACGGAAAAGGGGAAATTGGCAATGCCCATTTGGCCGCGTGATCATCTCTACTTCAAAGTTATGATTGTGTTAATTGCAATTTAACTGCAGTAAACATGGTACTTTTATGAGTCCTAAACCCATGGTTTCTGGTATGTATTATCTGTTGGGACATGGATTTGTAGCAGTGTTAACCATAATTGGACTGAACTGGCTGTATGAACTGTTGGACCACAAATCTTACCCCAAATGGGCTGCAGTGATCAAAGTCACCATATTGAATTAGGCTTGGGCCGGACTTGGATGGGTTTGACCGTTCAGAGATTAGAAATGGGTAGATAAATGGTGAATGAGAGAAGTCCCCCAAATTGTCAAAATTCACTGGAAGTGTCACGGGGTGGTGAGAGATTTTGGGTGTTTCTTAGTATTGTTGGTGATGAGTCATAATGATAATAAATGTTTGGAGTGTTGTTAATTAATTAGGACTTAGGATATGATGCCGACCCCCCCACATTTGGATTCCATGCTATTCATATGTCCCATCCACACCGTTCGATTTTGTTTTCTTCTACCTTGTTTCCTTTGGTTTGGAGTGTTGTGAACTGTGAGCCATACGTGATATTATGGTCAACATCTACGAGGTCATAAGATTGAGTTTATTCAAGAATAGACCATTAACTTTATGAAAACTGACTGCTACATGATCAAGTTGAATTTTGATGGAAGTTTTTCGGGTAACTCAGGCCAACAGGGACTAATAAGAGATCGTATTGAAGGTTTTGTTGCAGCCATGGCACCGCAAATGCAAATGCAAATGCAAATGGAGCTGAGATGTTAGAGGGATTGTTGAAAGGTAGATGAGCTCGTCGGCAATTGTAGAGAGAGTCTCAATCCACTTATTTAATATTTGTTTGGAAGTATGATATGATGTTTTGTTGGAGAGGAAGGCAATTGGAATCGCAATCGCATAAACCAAAGTATATCCATGCATTGCCTTGTCAGAAACGCTATCACAAACGACGCTACAACTTTCCCGACTTTTGAATTTTTTAAATTTTGTGTCCTCTATTGTCATGCTATAAATTTTTCCTTAACAAATATTTTTGGTAAAATACAATGATCAAAATACCCTCATAAACTTTTACGGGCATTTTAGTCATTTTATTTTATTGGGAATATTTTTTTCATAGGTGCAAATTCAAGGGAGGATGAGATGCTCAAAGTTCGGTGTCAAAAAATATTAAAAATAAAATAGTATAAAGGGTGATATTGTGATTGAGGCCAGCCAAGCCATCGATGGTTGGATAGGAGGGAAGTATATATAGAAAACGCGCCCATATCTTCTTCTTTTCTGTTTTTCTTTTGAAATACTCACATTTTAAAACTCCCATGTTGTAATCGAGTGTCTTTTCTTAGACATGGTTCAGAACTTGAAGTTATGAAGTTCCAATTTTTTTTGCCTTTTGAGAATCATCTACTGTTTTTTATGTAGTTCACGAACTTTCAGATTAAGCAAGCCTTTCAAGTAGACTTCTGACCAAGGGAGTAGATGAACACTATGCTCCCATAAAAAGCAGTTTATGTATTTCTACATTTTCACACCCCCTGGATGTATAAACCATCAATCTAAAGATAGATGTAAGTGAAGGTCCCCCAAGGAAACCGTAAAATTAATGGTTCAAACCTTTGCGATAGCCTTAAAATATATTTTGATCTTTATTTATAAAGTTTAAGCTTAAAAAATATTGTAGATAGACTGAACTATGAAAATTTTGAAAATTGATGGGCGAAAAATGTGTTATAAAATACACTATTTTCAAAACTTGAAATCTATGTTTTTCTCATGTCCATGCATCTTGATGTCAAGATGATCAATTTGAAGATATTTGAGCATCAAAACAACCTCTTTTAGTAAAATTTTGAGGTAAGCTCTCGTTTGATTGTTTCGAGCCTTGGCTCTATATAAACTAATCCTCTAAAAAAAATATCAGTTTTATATTATTATTTTTTTACACATTAATGATTTCCATGTTAGAGATTGTATATTCCTTAAAAATTGGAGTCAAAATTTATTTTAGAAATGATTTAGAGAAAATTATATAAATATCCATTATACTTTACGTTATTACGGATTTACCAAATAGTTTATGTTATTACATGTATATCAGTTTTTTACCTTTTATAACACACTTTTTAAAGAGAGACGACTTCACCATTTTTCGGATGTTGAACACCCTAAAGTTTAACTTTCAAATTCTCATATTTAGGCGTTGAATATCCAAATTGAATGGTTATGTCGATACATTGTATTCCTTGTGAAAAATGGTTTCGGATGATGGACGTCCGAAAATATCCCATTTTCTAATGTTGAACATCCGAAAATATGACATTTTTGGATGTTGAACATGCAAAAATGGTTCAGATGTTGGACATCCTAAAATGTCATATTTTCGATGTTCATCATCCGAAAATGAATGTGAAATTCTAGAAACTTTCAGGAAATTCAAAGTCATATTTTTAGATGTTGAACATCCGAAAATATGACATTTTCGAATGTCCAACATCCCAAACCAGTTTTCGGATGTTGAACATCCAAAAACCCTTCAATTCGGATGTTCAATACCCTAAAATGGGAATGTGAACATTAAACTTTTCACCTATTTTCAGATGTTGGACATCCTAAAAACCCTCCAATTCGGTTATTCAACATCCGAAAAAGGGTAAAACCGTCTTTCTTAAACAAATATGTTATAAAAAGTAAAAAACGGACATACATATAATAACATAAATTATTTGGTACATCCGTAATAACGTAAAGTATAACAAATATGCATGTAATTTTCCCAATGATTTATTAAGGGGAGCCGCATTTCTAGGTATGAATATCGGGCTCATAGAAACCATATCCAATACACAATATGTATGTTAATAGTAAATAGTTGGAAATTAAGTGTATTTTAATATATTTTTCTATATTTATTATATATAAGGTAGACATTTTAAAATGTATAATTAAAACACACCTCTATAATCCTTCAAAAAAGGATGTTTTGAAGTTGGAAAAACATCAAATTGACCTTATAAACATTTAGATGCGTAGATATGGACAAAAAGATATTTCAAGTCCTAAAAATAATATATATAGTAATATATTATCTAGATAGTCCAATTTCAAAAAATTTATGTGTTTATAGATTTGCTTGATTTGTACAATTTTTGAAGTCTAAAATTTTACAGTTAGAGATAAAAAAAGATTTCTACACCATCCTAAAAATTTTGGACACTAAAATTGTATCCCATGACATAGTGACAAAGTGCTTTCTCGATGAAGATTGTAGATGAGATTTAAGTTTAGTTGATGGATGAAGGTGACGAGACATTTGGTTCAGGTACAGAAACGTCAAAATTATTTTTACACGTTACTGAAATTCAATAAATAAATTAAAGTACGTCGTGACATTGTGGAGGGGCACCACCACCCGTCGCTCAGCTCCGCCCCGCTCCGCTCCTTTGACTTAGCCACCTACCCCCTCTATGCCTTTCCCTTTAACAAACCTCCTGCTGCCATTTCGAGAAGAAGAAGAAGAGTAGCAGAATGGGTGGTAGAAGAGGCCGCTGCTTTCCGTGCCTCTTCCATGGGAGGAGGAGAAGTAGGAGGAGGATCAGAAGAACTTCTCCCCTCAATGAGGAGGAAGAGAAGAGGTCACCCGTGCTTCTGGTCTCGGGTATAGGAGGATCAATCCTCAATGCGAGGAAGAAGCAGAAGAATAAGAGCGGTGGTGATGCTCCTGCGATTAGGGTTTGGGTTCGCTTCTTTTTGGCTTCCCTCGAGTTCAAGAAGTACGTCTGGTCCATCTTCAACCCCAAAACTGGTACCTTTCTTCCTCTTTCCCTTCCCCCACTCACTTGTTTTCCTTTGTTCCCTATTGACAATATTTTATTTTTGTTTCCTATTGACAATATTTTATTTTAATTCATGGATATTCATCGTTTGTTGGTTATGGGCGTTTTACCTTGGCCACACATGACACAAATAATCTGGGATTTTCTTTGTCTTTTTCTTTTTCTTCTTTTTTTTTTCTCATATTTTCTTTCCGTCTTCTTCTTCTCGTGTTGTTATTTACAAATTTTCCACTATGTGGGCAGATGGATTTAATGTCTCTTTGGCCATTACTTTTTCTTTAATTGCGGCTTAAATCTCGTGCCCTCGCTTCTTCAGTGGATCCCTGGCTTAACACTTTTTGACTGATTTTTCCATCTCCCAGAATGTTAAGAAATTTAGAAATTAAATGGAAAGGGGAGGTCATCTCCCTCCTGCTTCTTATGAATATCCTACAATTAGGTCAAAATTATGGAACATTGATTTATGGGAAAATGATCAAATTATGGAACATTGATTTATGGGAAAATGATCAAATTATAAGATAGAGATGAACGATTTAACGCTTTACTTATATGTTTTGATTTAATTTCAAAATACACATAAAAACACATGGTCATGAGTTGGAATAGTTGCAAATAGATAAAATAGTTCATCTGTTATGGGTATTTTGATAAATTTCCCTTGATTTATCTACTAGAGCATAGAGGCAAAACTAGAAAACAATGATAATGTCATCTAATTTATGGCCAGTTTCATGCATTAGACTTTGATTTTAAGGTTTCCGTTACTTTATATGCAAGTGACATGGCAATGCATATTGGGCTGTAATAATCTTAAACAACTACAACTGGTTTGTAAATGTTGTTAGAGAAATAAAGTTCTCTTCCACACATCCAGCAACACCATCAATAAGCAGACCATTTAATCTGGAGTTATGCAGCTGCGTACCATTTAGGGGTGCCATATATAGCTTTGGTGACTCGATATGAGTTTGAGACGGACATGGTAACAGACACACAAATGGATGTAGAATATGGGTGACCCCATGGTGAATTTTGATACTTGAGACACATGTGCACCAAACCACATGCGTGTATCTATACATCGTATGTGTGTGCATTCATAAATATTATATGTGGGGGTGTTCAAACATTGCAAACACATGCATTTTTTTTTATTATTGACATACATAGGTATTGTGTGTTGTTTTATATGCAAATAGGAAATAATTCATAAAAAATATACCCAAGTAAAATAAGAATCAACATAAGCAGATTCGTATAAACAAATTAAAATGGGACCATAAGAAAAGAACAGAAAGAACAGATCAAGTTTGGAGCATACAAGCTTTCCTCTTGGAAGACTTGAAATTATAGTTTTTAAAATGATTCTTCTCTTTTCCTCATTGGAAATGAATGTCATCTTTCCACATGATGGAGATGATTGATGTTTGGGTATGAAGGGAGGATGCAGTATCCCATATGATGCCTTCTCTATGAGGTGACCATCTCTAGATCTTTATCAGGTTGTAAACGATTGGCATTCTATTTCAAGTTTATTATTAAGTTGTGATTTTACAATTTGCATGTATGACATGTTTTGATGTTTCTGTGTGTGATTAAGCTAACAAGGTTTTTGCTTTTCTTGAGGAAATTGTTATAGCATTGACCCAAAATAATATCGTAACAAATAGGCGATGTCTGGGGGAAATCATCCTAGGTTGCAGCAGTATACTTAGCAGAGGAATAGTCTCAATAAGTGCAGCGTCACACTGCTTATGTCAAGTTTTTGTTTCCAGGTTACACAGAATCTTTGGATCCCGACATTGAAGTGATTGTCCCTGATGATGACTACGGGCTCTATGCAATAGACATTTTGGATCCCACATGGGTAAGCGACTGTTCTTTGAAGTGAAAGAAATTTAACTTAGAATTAATAATTTAAAAATCTTCATTGCAATCAACCTTTCAGTCAGAATTGGTCATGACCTGCTTTGATATTAAAAGCTACTTATCAAAGAAAGAATTACTCAATGCACCTCCTGCTACCCAATGCACGGAATGTATCCCATTCAATAATTTAGGAAGAATTACTCAATCAGCTCTGATACTGATGCCAACAAGGATCAAGCACAACAATGATGGTTTAGGAAGAAATTACTCAATCAGATACTGCTTCCAACAAGGATCAAGCACAACAATGATGGTTTTCTCTATAGAAATTCCATGGAGGAATTGAATCCTAGGTCCTCTCTAGAACTAGCATCCAATCTGGTTTCATGGTCCCACATGGTGGTTTTCCTCTATTACTTCCTCATTAACCTTGTTTACATGACTGTAAGTTTCCTTGAATGGGGGGGGGGGGAAAGTAAAAGAAAGAAGTTTACACAAATATAGCAGGGGACTTGGAGAAGATGGGGCGGTTGGGGGGGGGGGGGTAGGGAGAGAGAGAGAGAGAGAGGAGACTTGTGGCTTTCTGGGTGCTTCCAATTTAACCTCTCTATCCTTCAGCTTACTTCTCAAAGCTTTCTCTAAATACTAACTGCTTTCTGGCTAACCTCTCTATCCTTCAGCTTAATTCTCAAAGTTCTCTAAATACTAACTGCATTTAGGTATAATTCCAGGATCCAGGGATTTTTGTTTTTCCTACGATTTGATTGGTAACCTCTTAGTTGATATCTATGCTATGTGTTAACGTATCCCTCTTCTACTTTCCAGTTGGTGAGATGTTTACATTTGACGGACGTATATCATTTTCATGATATGATTGATATGCTGCTTGAGAGTGGATATGAGAAAGGGACCACTCTTTTTGGATATGGTTATGATTTTCGACAAAGCAACAGGTAATCAGTCTTACCAGGCATTAAATAGGGATTGGTGGAGGCTGGAATGCGGTGCTTGAACGATTATTGTTATGAAATTAAATATGTCAGATTCTTAATCATAATTTTGTGTGTGACAGCTCAGCTACTGTTTATGTCATTTTTGTCTATGGGTGAACCTGTTACTCATTTTAGTGTTTGGTTGGATGATAAGAATAAAAAAGATTGTGGATGGGTTGAGAGAAAAACTGGTTACTGCTTACAAGGCTTCTGGTGGGAAAAAGGTGAATATAATATCACATTCAATGGGTGGACTGGTCGTCTTGGCCTTTTTGTCTCTACATCGAGATGTGAGCATCTCTTTTAGGTTATTGATTTGCACTGATAATAAATGTTGATTTCTTAGTTTGTATCCTTGAAGCATACCCATTGGACTCTGTGTGACTTGAAAACTTTATCTTATTTGGAAGGTGTTTGAAATGTATGTCAATTCTTGGATTTGCATTGCGTGCCCTTTCCAAGGTAAGGCCCATGAAGTCATTGGCAAGGAAGCAAATTCCTACTTAGCTATCCTCATATATGATTTTTAGATCAGCCACAATACTGAATACATTTACCCGGTCAACAGGTGCTCCAGGATGTATAAATGATTCCCTTTTAACAGGACTGCAATTTGTTTATGGTCTGAAAAGCTTCCTTTTTGTATCCAGATGGACAATGCACCAACTGGTAATTCATATATTTGAGTTTCCATATCTTGCATGAATTATTTTTGTTTAAAGATGTAGTGCATTGGACGTTTCTAAACATTCTTTAATTTAAGTTTCTATAAAACATAGTCTCAATATTGATGTGTATGTGTGCACGCACATGCCCATGGGATTGTCCTATACAATGAGCGTGGTGGAGCTACAGTGGTTTGTTGGACCCAAAATGTTGATTCTCAGTAGGGTCAAAAAATAAAATAAAAAGAGTTTACACAAAAAAGAGGTCCAGGTGGATCTAGGTCTTAAAAAACTCAAAATCATTTCTCTTTTAATTATTTATTTCTAATCCAAGATGTTTTGCAAATTTTCAGCCCAGAAAAATCCCTCTAGTTTGGCCAATGGGCTTGTAATGTAATTTTTTGTGTGTGTATATAGTATATATAATTGCCAGGATAGCTCATGTTTAATCTTGTTAATTGATTGCTCTATGTTTCATGGAGATTATGTCGTTTACGTGCCTTCTTGGAGGGAATGTAAGAGTTCAACTTGCAGGTCATATTTTGAATCCTAGAGTTTGTTTGTTTGAAAGATTAAGTTTGCATATTTTTTCTGGTTTTAAGAAACTGACACTTTGGCAGTCCTTCTGGCCAGTATGTTCCTGCATTGTTCAACTAATCAAGGAAACTTGTTTTAATGTATAGTTGATTGAATGCCCATCAATCTATGAGATGCTGCCAAACCCTGAGTTCAAATGGAAGCAATCACCACTCATCAATGTCTGGCGGAAACAAAGTGATGGCAAAGGAAGCACTTCAGTCAAAATGGAAAGTTTTGGCCCCATAGAAACCATGCATCTGTTCAAAGAAGCACTGCAAGATAATGAGGTATGCATTTTCATTGATAAAGTTTCATCTCAGACTCTCTCAATGTAGGATTAGTGAAATTCTGTGGAAAAAAGTTAAGAAATGTTAATCTTTTGGAAAGTCTATATAAATTACTCACTTCTCATACAACTTTACTCGAAATAAGCTTGTACTTACATGAATTTCTATTTTAAATCTCATGCATGTATTCCATTTCAAAAAGAAAATCTCATGCATGTATTCTCAGAAATCCATCTTATGCTGTTACAATGGGCATGTGCCTTCTTTATCTTTTTTAGTTGTTGGTTGACTACTAGCGTAATTGGCAGCTGGAGTATGATGGGAAGAGAGTACCTGTGCCTTTCAATTTCTCAATCCTCAAATGGGCGATAGAAACCCGCAGAATCTGGAAAAGTGCCCTGCTACCTGAGAGCGTCCGCTTCTACAATATATTTGGCACATCATATGACACACCTTTTGATGTCTGGTGTGTTGCTCTGACAATAACCTCACTCACCAGATTCTTCATATTTCCTTTTTCGATTGTTCTCTCGCCAGATTCCATAAACTGATATTATATACTACTTTCATCTGAAAAATCATCTTATGCAGCTATGGATCAGAAACGTCTCCTATTGGTAATTTATCCGAAATATGTCAATCCGAGGTAAACAAACCTGTCATACTGATGGCTTTATTAGTAGCTTTGTATACATGTGATTGAATATTGTATTCCTCTACCCACTTTCTTTCTTTCTTTCTGGTTTTATTTTTTATTTTTTATTTTAATCTCAGCCAGGATATTCTTGGGTGGATGGCGATGGCACAGTGCCGACTGAATCAGCAAAGGTGAGGTTTTGCATGAATCCACATTTTCATGCAACAATTGCACTTGGCTAGAATCTCCATCCAGGCCGATGGTTTAGTATTTGGGATTTAGGGTTTTAAACAAACTCAAAATTTCCATCCAGGCCGATGGATTTTCAGCAGCAGAACGGGTTGGCATCAGCGATACTCATCGGGGCTTGTTAAGCAACGAAACACTATTTCAGCATCTCAAACAGTGGCTGGAAATCAACTAACCAAATCAAAGGATTGAAGAGTCAAATCATTTTTTAAGAGATTTTGCAATACCGCAGTGACCAGTTAGTATGAAGAAGTGGAACCATGGTCCGATATGCTAATTAGCGAATGAAGTTTAACCATTCTAGTCATATCTGTTATTATTGCTGTTACTAAATGTGAAAATATCATGAATGTGCAATTTAAATGCGTTTTAATGCCAATATGACATTTGAAATTTATTTTTATACAAGTAATATGTATGCATTGTAACATTCAGTATTGTTAATCTCTCTCTCTCTCTCTCTCTCTCTCTCTCTCTCAATACTTTTCTTAATCTTTCTATTTCTCTCTTTATCTATTGCTTTTTTCTCCGATTCTTATTTCCTCGGGGTGAAGCAACTCGAATGGGAATCCCCCATGCATCAGCTGCTTCCCTTCATTTCCTTTCCAAAACCCTTTTTTTCCCAATAACCTTCGTTTGTTATCGAAATGGATATATATCTTTGGCAACGACCACAATTTTTTGAGGATTTATATCTTTCAACATGAGTAGAAAAAAAGTTCAATGTATCTCCATGATTTTCTTCTTCCAAGTCATGACGCATTTGTTTAATTTTTACGAAACACAAAAGAATAATGAAAGCAATACCAAGTAGCAACAAATACTGTACTTCACATTTCTTTCTTTGTGAAAATGAAACTGGAACTGAGAAATGTTTGATAATACAAATAAGAGCAAAAAAATGACTAGAACAGGAAAATGTGGTGGATAACGTTGATCTGAGCAAAGGACTATTATAATATCGTATGCCATAGTCTGGAGATTCAAAATTATGTATATGATCAAACAATCTTCTCACGCAAAAAAAAAAATGCACTCTAAATTGCATCAATTGTAAAGAGATGTTAAAACTGTGTCATCAAATCCACCTTGACTTTTATAAGTGAATTCTGTACAGGTGATGAGAACTACTTGTTTCATTAATAGATGGCCAATTTCTTTTGTATCTCTTAGAAACAGAACTTAAGAAAGAAAATAAAACAAGAACAATTATAGATAAGACAGAAAGCATAAAGATAAAGGATGAAACCTGTTTTTCCTGATAGTTTTGGGTGAAGCACAACATTCGTTAATATACAGCATAGAAAAGGTATTCCCATGAACTGACCTGTAGAATCAGCTGAACAACCAAAGGAGATAATCCCTAATAACAGTTTTTGCTAGAATCAGCTGAATAACTAAAGGTGATAATCCCTAGTAACAGTTTTTGCCCTAGCCAACAACACATCTGATACTCAAATGCCAGACTGATGATGCACCATTGACATTTCATGGTCTGAATATAAATGTACTATTTCACACCCTTGAGCATGGATTGTATATTATGGAATATTTATTCTTACTATAAGGATGTCACAATCATTTTTAGCCATTAGATGTGAATCCAATAGATATAAATCTATTACAACATTCGAGAAATTTTATCTTAGACTTTGTGTCTAAATAATGACATATCCTTAACCACCCGATTTCAAATCTAATAGACAATAATGTTTGTGACCTCTTTATGTCAAAAGTAAATATAGTCTCATTATATACATTTCCTAATAAAATACCAATAAAAATGAGAACTTCCAAAAGTATAAACATGCCCATAAAACTAAGAAAAAAGAAAATGGGTTCTTCATTGTTACCAGGTGCTGATAAAATGGACTGGGAGCTTGAGCTTATAGTTGCTAGATGTTTTGGCAACCGTATTAAAGATTTTGAGAGTTTGGTCATGGCGTAGTAAATTTGCTCTCTCTAAAAATTCCAATATGCTTCCACTCAACATGATCAATGAATACCCATTTGCATCGATAACGTTCCAATTGAACAGTCTGCATACAGAATGAAGATGAACAAATTCAAATGAAAATAGAGCGAATCTCAGAAGATAGTAAGGAAAAGAAACCAATATGGACGCCGGTTTTATAATGGGGAGGATTTCAGAGACAAACTATAGGTTAGAGACATAGGAAAAAGATGTACAATGAGAGAAAGGGAGAGAGAGTTAGCCGTGGGAAAGAGAGGTACCACACATTGGCTTTACTTCTGGTTGAGAACAAAAAAGCCACAATTAAGATCTCTCTCTCTCTCTCTCTCTAAGGTGGTGAGACCCTTAAAAAATACACATTTTTTTTAAAAAATACTAATGGTTGAAAACAAAAAGGGTGTGGTTTGTATAAAGTCACAACCTTCAACAATCAAAGTAAAGGTGCACCTCCAAATATTGTCACAAGATGTAATTTTGGTGTCGAAAATTCTTGGGATAGTGCGACTTTAAACCTAAAAATAGTTAAAATCAAGCGGATCTATAGACCGTCGAAAGGTTTTTATACTTCCACTATAACATAGAAGATTTATGCTTCCCCTACCATCTAGCCGTCCAATTTTGATCAAGTGAGTCATTCGCTATTTGATCCTAGATCCAAAGCCTCAGAATATTTTATTTTTTATTGTTTTAATACAAATGATATGAATATGAAATTTCGTACGTGTCATCTTCTCATTGGGGCGCACTATAAAAAATATTAAAAATAATTTTTTGATAAAATAAAATCAACAAAATACCCCTTAAAATTTTCTTGAGTATTTTGATCATTTAATTTTATTGAAAATATTTTTTTTATATTTTTTACAAGTGAGGGTTTAATAGAGGATTGGATGCCCAAAATCTGGTGTCAAAATGTTTTATATAAAAAATATTAAAAATAAAATAGTGCAGAGACTTGACATTGTGATTGGGGCAATCTTAGCCCTCCATTCAGAATGGACGATTGGATAAAAAGAAGCATAGAAGTTTATGTCGTAGGGGAAGCATAGAAAGCTTGCCTTCTGGATAATATGTTGCAATATGTACTATTTTTAAGACTTGAAATCTTTTTTTCTTTTCTCTATATCTATAAATCTCGATGTCGAGATAATCAATTAGATATTTTTCCACAATCAAAACAATATTTTTTGAATGATTTTTGAGGTGCACCTTAATTCTACATTTTAAGCTGCGAACATTATTTAAACATTTTAGCCACAATTAAAATCTCTCTCGCTAAGGTGGGGAGACCTTTAAAAATATACACAAGTTTTTAGAAAGACCTTTGATTCACCTGGTGAAATTTCTTAAAAGAAAACTTTCAAATTCCTAGACATATTCATGGTTAAACCAATGTTGTTCGACTATTCGGCGAGCAACCTGGACTTCCCAATTAACTCGGGCTCCTCACTCTAGCTTGCTTAAGTAGCTCGAGTTTGGTGGTCAAGCTCTGGGATCTTAAATAATAATAATTAAGAAACTCAAAAAAGAGAAAATTTATTGGTAATTTTTTTTGTTATGCTTTTGTCATTTTGGTGAAGATTGAGAAGAATTTTGGCCATGAGTATTATTTTTCAATGTTCTTTCATTTTTGGATTATGTCTAAAATACTTCCAGTCACAAATTGATTTTTTTAAAATCTATTTTTCATTAATTTTTTAATCTCATTTAGATATGTTTTGTTCAATTTTACTTTAAATATATTTCTTCATTTTTTTTTAGGATTTAATTTTTTAACCTGCCCAACTCGGGCTGTGTTCAGGGGCCGAGTCGAGTCGTTCTTCCCTGCACTGGTTCAAGCTCGGAATCAAATTATTTTTCCCTATAAAATTGAAGGTGACGGGAGGGGAGGGGGGGACCATGTGTTGTGTTAGGGGTGGTCTCGCGGACCACCTAGGAAGCCGCAGTCTGTTATTTCCGATTTAAAGTTAGTTAACGAGCACCCGATTTTCCCACCACAAAACAAACTGCTTTTAACTAACACTACGCGCCTTCGGCCCTGTGCCTTCCATTTTCTTCTTTCTCCTCCCCCTCTCTACCCACTTTCCTTCTCTCTCTCTTTTTGAACATCTCGACCATATCTCTCTCTCTCTCTGTAAAAAGATAAAGATTAATGGGGCACGAAGAGCCAGGCAAAAGCTCTTCGCGCTGGGCTCCCACTAGAGAAGACATGGATAAATCAATAGAGATGGTGAGGCCAATACGAAGGGAAATGTCAGCCTCAAGCCGAAGGCTTTCTTTCACCGCTCGAATCAAATCTGAGGTCAAGAGACTCTCCACCTTCAGTTCTCAGGAATCAATGAAGATAGAGAGTACGAACAATAAAGCCATGTCGAGGATGGTTCGAACTAAATCGAGTGCAGAGAGAGGGCTTCAGAGCCTTCGGTTTCTAGACAAAGCATCAGGAAGTAATGAAGGAGAGGGATGGAATGCAGTTGAGAAGCGGTTTAATCAATTCGTGGTGGAGGACCGGGTCTCTAGAGAGAATTTTGGGCGATGCATTGGTGAATCTCTCTCTCTCTCTCTCTCATTATGGGGAAGAAGAGCCCCAAGTAATATGGTAGTTTGATACTGGGTGATCAGAAACCTGTTCTGCTATTGTTTTGTCTCTTTTTTTTTTTTAAAGGAATGGGTGATTCGAAGGAATTTGCATTACAGCTCCTTGATGCCATGGCAAGGCGTAGGAAACTAGATGTCGAAAACGGTTTATCGAAAGAGCAGCTTAAGGAGTTATGGGGAGAAATGGCAGATCAAAACTTCGATTCTAGACTTCAGATATTCTTTGACATGTAATTATACAAATCCTTCAGCACTCATCTCTCTCTCTCATCACTACCAATGACAAATTTGATGTATCTGCGAGTCTTCACACTCATCTCTCTGTCTCTCTCTCTCTCTGACAAATTTGATGTATCTGCGAGTCTTCAGGTGTGATAAACGGTGATGGCCTCCCACCCTCCCTCCCTCCCTCTCTCTCTTCTCTCTTATCAATACCAATGACAAATTTGATGTATCTGCATGCCTTCAGGTGCGATAAGAACGGTGATGGCAAACTTTCGGAAGATGAGGTGGAGGAGGTCTGATCATTAACCCTGTAGACTCTTAGATTTCCTATTTCATCAAACAAGATAAAAGACAAGACACAGTAGTAGTGATCAGTTTGTATCTCCTCTGAAGGTTATCGTGTTGAGCGCCTCAGCCAACAAGCTAGCGAAGTTCAAGGAGCATGTGAAAACTTACACCGCACTAATAATGGAAGAGCTCGATCCCGATCATTTAGGTTACATAGAGGTACACACATACTTGCTTTCTCAGTAAATGATTCTATCCATGAAGCAGCAGATCTGGAGATTGTCACCTCACAAAATGGGAACAACGAAATGGGACCTTCACGTATTGTTTATCTACAAAACTACAAATGAATCGTCATAAATTATAAGGATCACAACTAACAATGATCCTATGCATTATGCTTTTTTTTGGTGGGGGGGGGAGTTCAGCAATAAGAATCAAACTTGAGATGTAGACCTCAGCCCAATTCCTGATCCAATGCATATTTATTCTGATTACTTTTACACAAGTAACAGAGAAATCCTTTCAACAAGTTGCATTTTTCCTATGCACTCCTTACCCAAATTTCAGGAAAGTTTATCATAACCCAGGGCTATGCTCCCACACAAATCAAGTAAGAAAGCCCGTCATAACAAATCCATCCGGCTATTTGCACAGATATGGCAGCTCGAGACCTTACTACAAGGGATGGTGAAATCACAAGGGCATGAGGCCTTCGAAAAGAGCAGCCAAGCTCTGACTAGGACCATGATCCCCAAGAGATATCGGAACCCAGTAAACAGATACCTCGATTATGCCAAAGACTTTGTGCATGAGAATTGGAAGAGGATATGGATACTTCTTCTGTGGATCATTGCGAATGTAGCACTATTCACATGGAAATTTGCACAATACAAGCAAAGATCCCCATTTCAGGTTATGGGGTACTGTGTGTGCACAGCCAAAGGAGCGGCAGAAACCTTGAAACTCAACATGGCAGTCATACTCCTACCAGTTTGCCGAAACACCATCACGAGGCTAAGGTCGACTTTTCTGAGCAAAGTTGTGCCTTTTGATGACAACATCAACTTTCACAAGGTGAGGCATGGTATACAGAGCTGAATTACATGATTGAGAGATATGTCACACTGTTATTTCTTTTTTTTTTTTGGAGAAATCTCAATAAACTTTCACTAGTATAATGAGACTTTTCCTCCTCCTTTTTAAATATTCTCGGTCTTTTTTTCTTTTTTCTTTCTTTTAACGTAAATGAGACCATGGAAACTACACTTTATAAGAGAGGCAAAGTACACCATGAAAAGGTCCAAAGAATCAGTGATTAAAACCAGACTCGCGCTCAGACTCACTAGGGTCCCCGATTCCAAGTGACCCAGCTTACCTCCAATTCTCAGGTTTTCCTTCAGAATCACTAGGACCGCTATCCGGACCCAAAGGGAATTTTTCAATGGCTATAATGAACCATGCCATATGGTAATCCAGCGAGAGGGACAGCCAACTTGAGACAGGGCTCAAGGGGATATATCAGGACTTAAAGTTCATCTGTGACAAACTTGGATGGAGCATGGATGTTATTTATAAAGGAAAAAGTTTATACAAGGGTGAGGCCATAAACAATCAAATTAAAGCGCACATCAAAAATTCACTAGAAAAGGTTATTTTGATACCCAAAAATCATCAATTGATCATCTTGACCTTAAGATCTATGAAGATGAGAAAAAATGGATTTCAAGTCTTGAAAATAATGCTCCTTGTAATGTATTTTTTGGAATGATAATTTTCAAGATTCTCAAGTATTCGTAAATCTACTAGATCTAGACTATTTTTTAAGCTTTAAATTTTATAATTAGATATGAAAATAAATTTTCATGCCATCACAAAGATTTCCAGTACTGAAATAACATCTTTCGATACTATTAAAGGTGCGCTTTACTTTTGATTGTTTAGGGCCTCAGCCTTAGCCTTATGCAAACCACACCCGTTCATAAAAGGAGAAACTGTTTCTCTCTTTCTTTTTTTTTCTTTTTTTCTTTTTTTCTTCCTTTTTTTTCTTTTTTTTCTTCCTTTTGAGGTTTAAGATGCATGGCAGCATGTTGTTGATAAGCAGGGTCATATGCGAATAGTAGACTGGACCAAACTGGGCCCTTTATAGTGGGTGGAGACGAAAAAAAGCCCAATTCCCAATGTCTGGTCCTCCTAATGGGGATGAAGGCTAATGGGGACGAAGGCTGAAAGAGCAGTGCGCCACAGTAAATTGGACAATCATAATTTCACAAATTTCACTACAATAGTATAGGGAAAAAATCTTTTTATTTTTTATTTTCTATTTGATATAATTTTCAATTCTCTTCAAGCTTTTCTTATCTTCTCCGGAGCTGTCTTCCAGAAAAACATAATATTTTTCAAAGTTTCCTACAAAACTACCTCACAAAAAGATAGCCAGGAATAAGATTTCTCATTATGGCTCAAACAAACAAAAATTCCTCATTTATTTATCAAAATAATGGGAAAAAAAAAGTTTCTTACACCTCTCTTTCCATTGCAGGCAATCGCATTTGGCATAGCAATTGCAGTTATAGTACACACAGTTGCGCACCTTGGTTGCAATTATCCCAGAATCACGTCATGCTCAAACACAAAATTCTTAAGAACAATAGGGCCTGATTTCAATAACAAGCAACCCACTTTCCAGAGCCTGGTCTTCAGCTTCCCTGGCATGAGTGGAATCATCATGATCTTTCTCATGTCATTTTCCTTTACACTAGCGACGCACAGCTTTAGAAGAAATGTCGTGAAATTGTCTTGGCCCCTCCACCATTTGGCTGGTTTTAATGCCTTTTGGTATGCACACCACCTCTTCGCCGTTGTCTACTTTCTCCTCGTCTTCCATGGTTTCTACATGTACCTTGCAAAACTCTGGTATAGCAAGACAGTAAGTACTTATCCTCTAAATTCCAAGTGATAACAACAAATGCCTATGGAAAAGTTCATCATAGTCGTCATAGTTAAATGGACTGTAGATGACCAAAGTGCCATGGGGTTGTCATGATCCAGTGATGTGACGCATGTCAATGGAGAGAACCAACGCCCCTCAGAATGGACACCAATGGTGGATCCTGATCTCTTTAAAACCATCCATCATTAGAATGGATGATGATGACCTACTGGAAAATGGCGTTCCATAGTACATTGGCTTAAAAACCATCCATCATTAGAATGGATGATGATGACCTATTGGAAAATCGTGTTCCATAGTCCATAGGCTTACAGTATACTTTCTAACATTTACGGCGTCTAGTATTGCTGTTAGTCATTCTAACTGAAAGTTCCCAACATTTACAGACATGGATGTACTTGACAGCCCCAGTTTTGTTCTACATTTGTGAGAAGACAACCAGACTTTTCAGAGAGAAACACTATCGAGTCAGCATCATCAAGGCACGTGAACATTATGTCACAACATGATGCTAACTAGGTTCTCTTTTGTTCTGGTTTTGGCAGTAAAACAATAATTTTTTGGGTTAAAAAATGTGCAGGCTGCAATATATCCAGGAGATGTATTGGCGTTGTATATGAGTAAACCTCCGGGATTCAAATACAAGAGTGGGATGTACATGTTCATAAAGTGCCCCAATGTTTCCCCTTTTGAGTGGTACACTTTTCTAAGTCCAATAGATATCTAATTTTACGATCCTTCTTGTAAAAGAAGCCCGCATTCTCTCTCTAAAGGCACACTTTCTTATTTTGTTTAAGACCTCGTCTTTGGATCTCTCTCTCTCTCTCTCTCTCTCTCCAGGCACCCCTTCTCCATTACCTCTGCACCAGGAGATGACTACTTGAGCATCCACATTCGTACATTGGGGGATTGGACAACAGAGCTGAGAATGCATTTTGAACAGGTCCTCTCATATTAGCAAGCATTATATCTAGGAATGAACTCTTTTTTTATTGGTACCATGAAACTAAGCAGCAGTTTGGGTTTGTTCCAATTCAGGTCATTCAGTCTGGTACAACCTACAGGAAGAGTGGCCTGACTAGGCTCGAAACCACAGTATATGCTGAAGCAGGTGTTCCCCATTCTAGGTAAAAACCCCACAACTTGCTTGTGGATAAGAGGATTGAAGATTTTTGTTTTGTCATTATAAGCTCTTTCAGTTGCAGGTTTCCCAGGCTTTTAATTGATGGACCATATGGTGCCCCTACTCAGAACTACAAGAAATATGACATACTTTTGCTCATTGGACTGGGAATAGGAGCCACCCCAATGATCAGCATACTAAAGGATCTTCTCAACACTATCAAGTTGCACGAATTTCGCTCCATTGATTATGATGATTCCAAAGATGTGCACGAAATTCAAATAACAGAAGTTCGAAGGAATAAGGGAAAGGGACCAAATCGGGCCTATTTCTACTGGGTCACAAGAGAACAAGGCTCTTTCGAATGGTTCAAAGGGGTCATGAATGAAGTTGCGGAGTTTGATCATAACGTACATTCACAATCAAACTGCTTCAATTCATTTCATAATTCTGTAACTCTCCCCCAGATTACCATCTGAAATCTTTGATGATATCGACTGTTGCAGAAAATTATAGAAATGCACAACTACCTAACAAGTGTGTACGAAGAAGGAGATGCTCGATCAGCACTCATTGCCATGGTTCAGTCTCTGCAACATGCCAGAAATGGAGTGGATATTGTCTCTGGAAGCCGGGTAAGCCCTTCCATAACAAGTTCTCCAATGAATGTACAAATTTGCCCATTGTGTTTCAACCCGAGTGTATTGTACTCAAGCAACAGGTAGAAACGGCAGTAATTTTTAACTTTCACTAAAGCCATGAGATGGGAACTGGCAGATACGGACGCACTTTGCCAGACCGAACTGGAGTAAAGTGTTTGCAGAACTAGCCAACACCCACAAAACAGCTCATATAGGTAAAATAAATCGGCTAAAGGAAAGAAACGTATCTAGCTCCTTGAGGCTGAAATTGACATTATCTGAATTTCTTATGGCCATTGCAGGTGTCTTCTATTGTGGGACACCTACGCTTACGAAGATGCTCAGGAAGCTCTGTCAAGAATTCAACCACGGCACCACCACCCACTTCCACTTTCACAAAGAGAACTTCTAGTATACTGAGCTTTTTTTTAAATCTAACCTTCAACAAATTGTTTTGTATAAAATTGTCTATTTTCTCTTCCGTTTTGTACATTCTTTCCTTATAATCTACTTTCTCTTCCCAAAACTGTAGCTTCACAAGATCAAAAAACTAATGTTGAGAAGATCTAAGATTAAACGCAAAGCTTGATTTCATTAGTTCACAAAAACTGCATCTTCTCTAATGCACTTTTCATGTTGTCATCCAGCTAATTTCATTGGAAACATGCGTGGAGTTTCTGTTGAATTTTTTCAACTTTTCTCTGACCTTCAATTTTCTCCTTACCAGTTTTTCCTTTTGTTTTATTGGATGGCTTTGAGGGGGTTAACCTTCTGTGGGACCTGACCGTTTTTGTTGGACCACCCTTTTTATGCAGCACCTTGCACTTTCTTATTCACCCATTGTGTCCCTGCCCTCCCTTTTCTTCTATATTCCAATTCACCTTCTTAACATTCAACTACGAGCAATTTCTAAGGCATACTGCATTATCAAATAGAGTTTGATCGGGTGGTCAAGTGATTGAAGAACCACCTCCTGTAATTTCAGTTCTTGCTCCAATAACAAAAGTTCTTTTGAGAGTGACCAATAACAAAAGTTTCAATTGCATTTAGTAAGAATTTCATCCAGGCCAGCAGTTTAGTGCTTAGGGTTTAGGTTTTCTAAATAAAGTCAAATTCTCCATCAAGGCTGATGGATTTTCAGCAGCAGCACGAATTGGCATCAGCAATCCTCATCAAGGCTTGTTAAGTAACAAAATGATATCTCAGCATCTCAAGCAGAGTCTAGGAATCAACCAACAAAATCAAAGGATCAATTTGTCAAATCATATAAGACATTTTGGCAATATATCAGTAACCAGTTAATCTGGTGCAGTGGAACAAGAAACCAGTAAGCTAATGAAACTAGCCATTTTACACATAGGGCATGGGCATTCACGTATGCCCTATTATTGTTGGCACTAAATTTGTAGATATCGTGAATGTAATGGGAATCCTCCGTGCATCAACTGCTCCTCTTCATTTCCTTTTCAGCTTAGAAGCTGCAACCTTTTTCCTGCCAAGTATTGCCTTCTTGTGCTCTGGTAATGGTTATATGTATCAGGGTAACCACCGGAATTTTCTGAGGACTGTAACTATTTCAACATGAGTAAAAAGAAATGCAACGGATATCCATCAAATTCTTCTTCCAAGCTATGAAGCATTTTGTTTACACTTTTCTAAACACAGAAAAATAATAAAAGCAAATCCACCTAAGAAGTAACAAATATTGCGCGTCCATTTTCTTTCTTTGAGAAATAAGAAGCTAGAACTGAGCAATGTCTAACCGTACAAATAAGATTAAAAGATTCACTAAAACCACATGACCAATTTCTACTGCACACCTCTTGAAAACACAACTTAAGAATGGGAAGAAAACAATGAAATGGCCCAATCCATTGGAAAAAGAACACCTGGAAAAGATAGGCATCAAAATATAGAGGATGAACCTTTTTTTCTTTCCTTTCCTCATAGTTCTATGTAAAGCACAAGTTCATAAATGGTATAAATACAAAACTGGAGATTAACCAGAACAAACAAAAGAGAATCTTCCGAATTATAGAGCTTTTTTCCCTGTGGCCATCAACATCTGATAGTCAAATGCATAAGGAACATGACTTTAAGGTCTGAACATAGATATGTCTATGTCATGCCCTTGAGCGTATGGCTCATTCGACCTTTGTTCAGTCACCATGACTGTGCTTTGGTTGTTGGCTCAAGAGCTGCGAAAACTCTTTCTTTTTCCTTTTAGCCAAAACATACTGCTTATTGACTCATTTCTCTAGTGTATTAGTAACTGTTATGGGCCTCATGCCCCATTAACGAAATCTCCTTGTCGAGACAAAGCACTTTGACTTAGAATCCATGAATTTTTGGAAACCTGATCTTTACCAGATTTGTATAGCTGAATGTTTTTCCTGTTGTAACCTATATGCACGATTTGTATAGGGCACATTGCCCCATGATTTATACAATGAGAAAGACATCTATATTTTACCCAATCATGTGCTTGAATATTTCTCTCTTCTCTCCAATCTTAACATGATATTTGATGTAGGGAGAAAGGAAAAAGAAAATAAATGAACCAGAAAAAAAAAAAAAATTTAATGGTGAGAGAATATACCCCTCTCTCAAGATCTATAAGGGTGTCTACCCTAAAATACTAAAATAAATTCTTCTTCTCTTATCTTCTACCTAAAATAAATTCTTCTTCTCTTACCTTCCTTTTTTTTCTTGTCTATTTACATATTTATAGAAGTGAACCCGAAAATCTAATTTGCTCCTTAAGACACCCTAATGAATATTAAATCCTAGCCCTTCATCTTTTAAAAAAAAAAAAGTAAACTTTCAATTCTACCGTTCAATTCTCTACAACAAGAAAGACACAAATAGAACAAAAGAACAGTAAAAAACCAAAATAAACCCAAAGCTAAATTTTAATCTAACAGCAAAAATAAAAAAAATAAAAATAAAAGCTAACTGCATCATTCTCCCGGTTCGGGAGAAGCTCGACCTTGAACTTAAGGACTTCAAAGAAATTTCTTTCTTGTCTTCACCACTGTGTTCCAAATAGAAATTTTCAACCTTTTCCTGTTTAACTCTTGATTGTTGGACTTAATGCAACAAAGTTATGATATACCTGGAAAATCAAATGTGATACCAAAATCTTTACACCTTTCATCACTTGTAATTCTTGCTTTACAACCACATCAATTTCCAGAGCAAGCTGTGGTGTGCAATTAATGCTTGGACTTGTGGTTGATATTTTATCTTCCACCTCTTCGCATTTTTGTTCCTCATGTTGCAATCTATTGAGTAAATCTTGTAACACTTGTTGCATCACTTTACCAAGGCGTTCTTTTAGGTCCTTTCTTACTTAATTATTTGACTACATTCTACACATTCCATAACTAGATCGCTACATGTCTTTTGATGACATTATGGTGTATGGATCATAAGGCATGGATCTCAAGGCTTTGATACTAATCGATGTAGGGAAGACAAGCAAGAAAATAAATAGATATAAAGGGATGAGAGACTATACCCTCTAACACTTGGTAAGGAAGTACACTCCCAAAAAGATCTTTTCACAAGACCCAAAATAAACTCTTATTCTCTTCTATTCTTTTTGTCCAATAGTTACATATCACTAAGAAACCCTAATCAATATTAAATTTTAATTCTTGATCATTAAAAAACAAAAGAAGAAAACGAAAAAAATTGAAGTTCCGATTCTACCCCTCACTTATCTAAAACTAAAAAGACACAAGTAGACAAGAAAACTAGACCCAAGATAACCACAAACCAAAATTCTAATCTCAAAAGAAAACCTAATAAAATAATAAAAAATAATAACTCTAATTGCATCAGTAATCCTGATGAATATTAGAGATTATTGGATAGACTTATCTATTTAACTATCACATGACTAGACATAGCATATGTTGTAAACGTGGTGAGTCAGTTTATGCACGCACCGCATTTCCATTACCTGGAGGTTGTTTATCACATTTTACAATATTTGAAATCAGCTCCAGGGAGAGGACTACTTTATAACAGTCATGGTCACATTGAAATATAAGGTTTCTGTGATGCAGATTAGGCCAGGTGTTCTCTTGATTGACGATCAACTAGTAGATTTTATAAGAGTGGGTGGCTCATCTAAAAGAGTAAAGAGGAGTGTTGTAGCCCAATCTTCAGCAAAAGCCGAGTATTGAGCAATGCCAAGTGCTAAATGTGAAATAATTTGATTTCATTCTCTACAATGAACTAAAATTTGGCCGCCTTGCCACCTAAGAGGCCTGGCCGACAAACTGCCTAGGCTATGCCTAGGTGGGGTCTAGGTGGGCATGGCTAAGGCAAGGGGCCTAGGAGGTCTGGGTGCCCCAAAAAAAAAAAAAGAAATTTAAAATCCACCCAAACAAAAGTACGGCCAGGTATTGCCCTTCTCTCTCTCTCTCTCTCTCTCTCTCTCTCTCTCTCTGAGGTCTATATGTGCTCTCTCTACTTATGAGAAGAAGAAGAAGATGGACTCCATGTGTTCGATGCGCAGCCTCACTCTCACACACACATACAAAGATACACATGGACCCATATGCTCCTTCTTTACATGTAAAAAGAAGAAAAAAAAATGACCTCTTAAGTGTTCAATGTGAGGTCCCTCTCTTTCGCAGTCTCTCTCTCTCTCTTCTCTAGACATATCCTCCAAGTGTTCGAGACCTCTCTCTAACAAATACAAATTCAAAAAGAAAAAAAAAAAGAGGATGATCTTTAAGAATTTCATGCGAGACCTCACGCACATATACACACACGAAACACGTACACACACACATTCACAAAACACACACACACAAAACAACATATGGCACCCCAACCCCTTCCCTTAGGGCCGCCTTTGTGTCTGGGTGCCTGCTTAGGCGACCGCTAGGCAGCCACCTCTGCCTTTTTGAACATTAATTTTCTACTTCAAGAGAGGGGTGTTAATGTATCAGCGCCCATTCATTTACATTGTGATCATCAAGTAGCAATTTATATTACCTCAAACCCTACATGAAACACCCAAGCATATTGAGGTCAACTAACACTTTGTATGAGAAAAAGTCGCTTCAAAGACAATATGTCCATTTTTTCACTCCAAAAATCAATTGGGAGACATACTTTCCAAGGCTTCTAATTGAGTTCGACTTACTTTGGGCAAGTTGGCCATCTATGATAGATATATTCCAGCTTGAAGATGAGAGTAATGATAATTATGGGTCATGCCTATTAAGGAAACTTATAGTAACTATCATGGGCCTTACACCCATAAAGGAAATCTCCGTGTGGCAAGGCACATTGACCAAGAATCCATGATTTTTGGGAAACCGAATCTGTTATATAATATTCTACTATATCAGGATTCTTCTCCTGTTATAAACTATATGCATGATACCTGCAACTTAGATGCATGCTGACCTATATTATAACTGCCATAAGGATGGATCTACAGCAACCCTCTGTTTTGAATTCATCGGTATACAAATACAGAGCACCCAACCTATGAGATGCCAACATCACCCAAATCTCACCGCTCCTCTAAGCAAAATCAAAAGCTAGGATGGAATTGACAAAGTTCAAGCTAGCTAACAACATTAAACAAGATTAATAGATTCTAAATAGTCCTAACTAAAACAGAATCTTCTAAGTGAAGTTAAGACTTAAAACTGATCCATGTCCCAAAGAACCTTAATTTTTTTTGTTTCCTTTTTATAAAGACCAAGGAACTTCTCATAAACAGTCATCAAATATAAGTTGGCAAAAGAAAAGGGATTGATTGCTCAATCTCCTTGATAATATCCGTACTTTGTAGAGGGTCTGTCCATGCAATACCCTCAACCACTTCTTTTATTGCCTCAGTCACAAGAACGCAACATCTCCCTACCTTTTTCTTTTCTTTTTTTTTTTCAAGCTGTGCTTCTATCAAATCTGATACGAAATCAGTAGAGAAGATGTACATACTGATCATATATCAAGGAGTGGGAGATTGTTTCCAATAGAAAGGACATCTCTAACCACTTTGTTTAGCCAAGGAGTCAACAACCCCATTTCTTGCCCAAAGACATGCTCAAAGAAAACCGCCACTGAGGTCTTGATATCATGTAACTCTTCCAATAAGTCTGCTATCCTCCACGGGTCTCCTCTTCTCACTCACCACATCACATTTATTTATACACCCTTAGACAGAACTCTCCGAGACCCATCACGCTAGAGCTCGTGCTTCTGCCTCAATAAACTCACAAATTCTAGCTTGCCCTGCAAAGTTCTCCATAAAAAGCCTATCCCTTTCTGGTTATTAGCATAATGTGTTGAAGTCAGAACACAACCAACCCCGGATAGCTAACAAATCCAATCAAAGGTGTTCTGACCAAAATTGCAAAATCTTCCAAAGGCCTGCATTGTATAAGCAACCCTAAACCTTGATAAGCAAAACTCTGCTGACAAAATTGCAAAGCAGTTGTTCATAATCCAGACTGTAAAATCAATTACCAGACATATGGTGTTTCAAACCAGATACAGGCTGCACCTTGTGCCCTACAACCAGAGCCAGTCAGCCAAGAACCCAGAACCCTACCTGATTTTCCAATAGACCCTAGGGAATCACAACCTACATTTTATAAGGGCAATATGGATTTCCCAACTTGCCAAGTTGCCGGGAATTGAGCTATGCTCCTATGAAATAAAGGTCAGTCTGAGAGTAAACTCTGACATCCAGAATCATCCACAATGGCAAAATTGGTGCTTCCTAATGGAAGAAGAAAAGGAAAGAAAAGCACAAGAACTTGTCACTTCTTGGAACTAAATGTAAGCTCAAGGGACTTGAGATCCTAGGACACCGTATGAGTACGTAACTTTATCAAATGACATCCTTCGAAAGGCGCAGAATGCATATGCATGATACAAACTTGCATAGGGTGCTTCCAAGATTCCTTAATATTCGATCCTGACTATTTTCCTGCAAGGGAAGCAGTATCCATAGAATGAGTGTAACTAAGATGAGGATGAGGACGTTGAGATGGATGAGTGGTAAGACAAGGAGGGATAGAATCCGAAATGAATATATTCGGTATAATTTAGATGTGGCACCAATAGGCGATAAGATAAGAAGGAGTAGACTTAGGTGGGCAAGCCATGTGCAGCACAAACTCAATACAACACCTATTAGGAGGTGCAAGTTAGTTCAAGTGGAAGCTCAAAAAGGGCAAGGGGTAGGCCCAAAAGAACATAGTTGGACGTAGTGAAAAAAGATATGGAGACTTATGGCCTAACTGGGGGTATGGCCCATAACGGTGGACCAGAATTTGTGTAGCCGATCCCAATTAGTTGGAAAAAGGCTCTGATGATGATGATGATGATGGAAGCAGTATCCAACAATTATATCTCATACAAATCAAATAAGCACTTTTTGATCTTTTCATAGTTTTATTCTTTATTTTCTTGATCTTTGTCAGAAGTTGCTGAGGCCTGTGCTAAGTTAATTACATTTACATGAATGCCATTCAATAAGGATAATTAGGTTCCAAAACAATATAATTTCTTTAACACAAACGCATGCCTCCATGTCCATATACCCCAGTAAACTAGTGACTATCTCATATAAACAGAACAACAGTCTGGAAAGATTGTCCATTGCAATAAATCTAAATGTACTGCCAACTTGGTATTAGAATAAATACGAAGCAAGCAATAAAACTACTGGAGTTAGCAAGCATAGATTATAGGAAATTATATACACTTGGCTATGTAAAGCTTCTCCAATGTAGAATGTAAAACAACAATCAGGGCAATGTTTATGTCCCACTTAGAGGACCCACAGGGTTTTGATAATTTTCAGTAGACAAAAAGAACTCAATAAACTACTTACACTGCTGGCAGTTAGTTCTGTTGTGGGAGATTTCACCATGATCCAGCCATTCGTAAGAGCAAGAGAATCAACAGTGCATTCCATCAACACCTAATGTACAAAAGATAATACACGGGAGCTACCTTGCAAAATAACTTTCATAAGCTGAACTGTAACCACAATCAAATAATAGCACAGAGAGACAGATAGAGAGAGATAGGCAGGGCATTATTCATTCAGTAACCATGAAGTGTGAAGCAGGATTGGCATCCGTTTTGTCACCAATGGGCACTATATTGTCCGAATGCTGCAAATTATGCAAGACTTGAGGAGGCAGGGAAGTGAGACCCCCCAAACTGTCATTCCCCGGACTGAATATTTGACAGACGAGCCTAACCAATGTCCCCATCGTCTGCATCTGGCTCTGGCATGCATCCACTTGCATCTGCATCATCAACTTCTCATGCTCCATCTGCATCCTTACCATCTGCTCTCTCCACTCCATTTCCTCTCTCTCCCTCCTCTCTTCCAACTCCATCCTCCTCCTCTTTTCCTCCGTCCTTTCATGTTCAACCTGTACTCTACGCTCAAATTCCCTCCTTGCCCATCCCCTCTCCCTCTCCTCCCACTCAAACTCCCTCATGATCGCTCGCTCCTCCCTCTCTCTCTGCCTCTCCTCCCTCTGGTTCTCCCTGTCTCTTTGCCCTTCTTCTCTCGCAGCGACCTCCTCCTCCTTGTTAAACTCTCTCTCCCTCTGCCTCTCCTCCCTCCTCATGACCATATCCCTCATTTCCACCAACCGGGCACCCATCAAACCCAAACTCTTCATCACCCAATCTGATGCTGCTCCTCCCAAATCCTCTCTCCTCAACATCTTTTTCTTGCTTCCTACCTTGCCACCTCCCTCTTCCAACTGGAGCTCCTCTTCTCTCTCTGCCACACCATATTCCCCACCACCACCACTCATTTCGCCTACACCATCATCATCACCATCCAAATTCTCATACTCAAGACCCCCCAAACACAAGCCCAGAACATCAGAATCCCCCATATGAACCCTGTTACACTCTCCTCCATCCACCACAAACCCATTAAATGAAGATGGCAACCCATTCCCAGTGTTCTCGTCATCCAACACAACATGAGGAGGAGGAGGAAGAAGAGAGGGGCTCTCCCCATTCCTCTGCCACCTTCCTGAATTCAAATTGCCACCAAAATTCCCCCTGTTCTTTGACGATGAAGATTTATTAGCATTGTTGCTGTTAGCCAAATCACTCGGATCTAAATCTACATCTCCAAATACCTCCTTGTATTTGATAAAATTTTGCCAATGGTTCTCCCCATCATCCCAATTATAATAATACTCTTCTCCTCCGCCACCACCATCAGATGATGATGCAGTTGATGTTTTCCTGACAATGATCTTTTGCTTAACGCCGATGTACTGGTGGCGCATGTTCTGGACCTTTATAGAGGCGTCGCGCCAAGTCCACTCCCATGGAAAGGCAACGGGATCCCTGCAATGGTGCACCGAGTTCACGTGTTCTGCAATGGGCTGGAATTTCTTCAGCCTGGTCTTCAGCTTGGCCAGAGAGCCTGAACTGAGCATGTCTGAGTACTTGTTTATTAGGGTTTCCTCCTCTTCTTCCGTCCATTTCTTCCGCTTCATCTCTTCTCAATGCTTTCCAACCAAACCCTGCTCTTTGAGCACCTCCTTCTACATATGTACTACCAAATTCTCTCCACCATTCTAAAAACCGAGGAATTGAATTTTCAGAAGAGAATGGAAGAAAAATTTGCCGCAGTTGTGTTAGTTGACGGAAATAAAGGGCAGTTCTTCTTACCTTGACTGAATTAGGGTTTGTTGTTTGTTGCTGAGAGGAGTGTAGGGATTATTACCTTGATGAATGAATCAATGAATTGGGGTTTTTTTTGTTAGTCACGAGAGGAGATTGGGCATGATGCGCTCTGCTTGCTGAAAGGGTATGAGAACAACTTCGGCATATTCAAGAGAAGTCTTCTTTTCTTGTGTTTTAAAAATCTAGAAAATCATATTTAGTTTGGCCATTTTATATTAAACTTTTTAATAAAATGGCTGATAAGTAATTTAACTGAAATTTAAACTTTTTAATAAAATGGTTGATGAGTAATTTTACTGAATTTTTTTATATTTTATGTTCCATTTTATTCAGAAATATATACAGAAGTAACTTATTTTATTTTTATTTTTTAAACTTTAAACATAGTCTTACATATTTCGTATTTTATACTCATGTTCACTTTTTAGAGTGTAAAGCGTATTTAACTTTTATCTTTTTTTTTTATACATCGATTTAACATTTGCCCCAAAAATTAGGGGTATTCGTTTTTTATTTATTTTAAATTATTTTTAAATATTTTTTATTAACGTGTGATGGTGTGAAATATTATAATCTCAAATTTGAACTCAATGCAATGCGTAAAAATTAAGATAAAATAAAAATACATTTTATGCTTTTTGGGAATTAAATGTAAACT